TCAATATAGGCCACATGCTCAGTGTGTTTTGCGTCCAGTGCTCTTGTCCAACTTTGCATTGTATATAGCAAGTTCGTTATACATGATCTTCCCCTACGGAAACCATGTTGTGCATTGGACAATAGCCTGTGGCTTTCCAGATAAGCCATCAACTCCTTTTTTATAGTTTTCTCCATCTCTTTGCAGCAGATTGATGTCAGACTGACGGGTCTGTAGTTTGTTGCAAGAGCACGACTACCGCTTTTGTAAAGTGGTGTAATGTGCGCCGTCTTACAGTCTGTGGGAAGGATTCCAGCATCAAACGATTCCTGGCACAGAAAGGTTAGTGGCTTGGCCAGCTGTCAGGCAAGCTCGAAAAGCAACTTTGCTGGGATCTCGTCCGGACCGGGAGATTTACACTCTTTCATGCTTTTTAGTTCTTCCAAAATCGCTTCTTCTCAAAAGACGATATCTTCGATGGTGGGATCTCCCATGTTTTCGGAATTAGTTGGAATAAAGTCTGCTTCTGTGGTCGAAACGGATTGGAAAAATTGAGAAAAACGCTCAGCTTTATCTGTTCTGTCCGATATCTCCAAACCGTCATCATTCCTCAAGACAGGAATGGAATTCCTGTTACATGTGCTCTTCTGCAAATAACAGTAGAGCTATTTCGGATTTTTAACAGCTCGGTTGAGCAAACTACTCTCGAAATCCCGTCGTCTCTTGAAAATCAGGCTTTTCGCCTTATTTCTTTGAACTTTATATTTTGTAAACGATGCAATGTTGTTGTTTTCGCGAAATTTCTTCCACAACCTTCATTTCTTGTTGATCTCCTTTTTGAGGTCTCATGTTAGCCACTGAGGGCGGTTGGATGTCCTAGGCCTTGATAAGGGACGATGGCTCTTGAGTGGAGGCAGCAACCGATCCTTGAATAAATTCCAGTCCTCGTTAACGTTTCCGGGGAAGAGAACATCCCAGTCCATTTGTGACGCCTCGGCTCTTATTTGGCAAAAGTCCCCTTTCCATATATTCGGCCTTGTATTGTCTTTTGTATATGGTTCAGAATACAGCTCGTACTCCCATAAAAGTACTGCATGATCACTTCTACCGAGCGGGGGTAGGTAGTATACCTCGTATATACTGTCAGGATCTTTGGTGAAGTCGAGGTCCAGACAACTGGTCTGTTGCCCTCCACGTGCTCTAGTTGGAAATAGGACACGTTGCGTGAGAAGAGCTTCTGAGGTTGTCTTTAGTAGACGGTGATCGAAGGCATTCTTCGAGCACTTCTCATGCATATCGCTCAATTGAATGCAGGGTGTATTAAAATCCCCCATGAGAACAACGTCTGGTCGACTGGCTATCTCTTTTATGCTTTCCTGTAAACAATTATTTGGGTCGGGATCCGCCTGCGGAGGCCGGTAAATAGTTACGACTTCGAGGGACTGAGACACCCGTGCCTTTATAGTCAGCCAAATTGCCTCTGTGTCGTCAGAAATCTTGTCTGTCCTCTCACACACTGTTACGTTGCTCTTGACATACATGGCAACTACTCCACTCTGGCGGCCTCTCCTATCTCTCCTAAACAATTGGTATCCTGCTAATGCTACCTCGCAATCATCTACGTTCTCTGACAGTTACGTTTTTGTTATTGCTATAGCATCCGGAGGAGTATTGGCTGCCTGTATTCTCACTTCGTCAAGCTGGGAAAACAGACTCTGAGCATTGGTATAAAAGGATTTAAGTTTGCAACATTCGACAGTACTTCGTTCGGTTTGTCTCGGACTTGTCAAAATTATGTTGCTGCCGCCATCATGATGACTGGCTGGTTCCAAAGCAACATCGCATTCCTCTGTATCACTCATCCCCTGTAAATAGCCAAGTTGCTCTCTCCTGCTGCAAGTCTCCTCTACAGCTCCGTCACTGATTCGCGGCGTTTCAGACGTTCCGATGGAGAATAGTCCGGTTGAAAAAACTTCCTTGTAAGAGTTTCGGAGGCAGCTTTTCCTGGACAGAAGTAAGCTAGCCTCCTCCTTACTGCCCAAAACGATTTTCAGAGGTGGTGACCGCAAAGCTTTCGATTGTTCGCTCACCTTCTTTCCTATCCTGAAGGCTGCGCGAATGGTTACCTTTTCATTCAAATTAAGCATCTTGTTTAGTACGTGTTGAAGCATATAGAGGTCAGCGGAAATCCTCTCCTTCGGGGTTGGAACATTCGACTCCGATAGACCCCGAACGACTAAGCAGTGCTGACGATCCATGGGTTCATTTGTTCTGTTTCTGGCGGCCTTGTCAGCTGAAGGTCTCGGGAGATCCATCGGAGTCGTCTGGGGTTTTATACTCCTGTTGTGGTGCTTACCGATTCCGCCTTGCCACGTTTTCAGATAAACCGATTTTTGTCAATCCTATGGCGTCAGGGAAGAAACCGTAGACATGCACTTTTAATTTGTCGAACTCAGAGAGAAGAATTTGGCCCGCAAATCGAGTCCGGCATGTTTCGTCTTCAATTTGTATGGGTGCCCTCGGAGATTTGTCGTCCGCGCCAGTTCGAAGAAGTCGTCAAACTGAAGAGCACAGTCTAGTCCTCGGACGATCCTGAAGGCCATGATCATGTCCCCTCTGTACTGTTTAGAAGAGAGAGGAAATATTTTTAGCTTTTCCAGACGTCTCTCATAAGGTAATGTACTTAATCCGCCGACTAGCCTGGTCGGTCTACGTTGTACGTTCCCCAGTAGGGTGTAATCTTTTTTTCGTCCAGGGACACCATGCCTGGACACTATATTCGAACATTGGTCGAACCTATGCGCCAAATACTCGGCCGAAAAGTTCTTCATCAAAACTGACGAAGGATCTTCTAATCGCGCCTAGAATACCCAAAGCTCTCTTTGATACCTTGGCGCAGTGAGATGATGGTTTGAGAGTTGACGTCATCCACACACCGAGGTCTATTAACTCGTTGACTGATTCAAGTTGGTGACCTCCTATAAAGTACTGAGATTCAAATCTCAACGGCCTCCTGTTGCTCGAACGTAATCGGATAAGTTGGCATTTGTTACGATTGAGGCTAAGACACCACTCATCACACCATTTTTGCAAGCGATGTAAATTTTCTTGTAATTGCACAGAATCTTCCGGCTTCTCTATTGATTGCCACAATTCGAGATCGTCATCAAACATTACTCGCTCGCAGTTCAGACAGTCCAGGCAGTCGTTCACATATATAAGGAACAGAATTGGACCCAGAACGCTTCCCTGCGGAACGCCACTGTACACATTCCGATTTAGCGTTTCCGATACGCACACGCTGAGATCAGCACGTAAGAAAATCGGCTAGCCAATTCAAAAGATATCCATTCACACCCACTTGATGTAGTTTACATATAAGTCGTCTGTGTGGAACACAGTCAAAATCCTTTTTGAGGTCGATGTGCACGGGGTCGACTGATATGCCCATGTCAATTGATTTCGTCCAGCTATCCATGGATACTAGGAGGTTGGTGAGACAGGATCGGCCGCTTCGAAATCCATGCTGATGTAGACTGAGCAAGTTGTTTTCTTCGAGGTGCCGCATCAGCTCCGTTTTTATTACTCTTTCCATCAACTTGCAACAGATGCTAGTGAGACTCACTGGTCTGAATCTTTTTGGGGCTGTTCTCTCGCCACCTGTATAAATGAGGCTTATATTTGCTTTCTTCCAGTCGGTAGGCAAAACCCCGGTCTCCATCGAAGTTTTGAAAGTCTTGGATCATAAACAGCGGACGGTAACAAAATAAAAACATGCGTTGGCGTAAGTCGAAGACTGCCGCTGTGTGGATTTTAGCCCGTCGGAAAACAAATCCAGAGAATTTCGTAAGTACAGCGAAAAGTGTAAACTGAATAGCAAATGCACATAAATCCGGTGTGATTATTTTCGCCTCTTTTATGCCATCATTTAATTTACGGTTGTAGTACGTTTGTTTTGTTTTTTGTTATTTTTTATTTTTAAAGTATACAAGTGCGATTGATGGGGAAATTTAGGAGCATGCTATTTCCGTCACGCCTTAGTGCCCAAATTAGAACTCTTCATAGGCGTTCGCACTGCTCCTGTGGTCGTTATCGTTTTTGTTTACACTCCTCCCTCTGCACAGGTACCTGTCACAATGTGACAGTCTGTGCAGTGGAATAGGAATGTCCCACAACCGGTGGTAGCCTACAGGCCAACAGATCCGTGACACCAATGTAGAGTTCTGGATTAAATCACACCCAGTGACTAAAGAATACTTGCTGGAAACCCAGGTCCTGCGAACCTGCGGTTGGATCAGTCCGGCCGATGACGATGCCCTTCAATAATCCGGAAATTACCACCGCGAGCTCCCGTGTCCTCGATGGGGTGATCTTTGTTTACGTTTTGGTCTCAAGGTTGTAAATACTTAGGCCGTTTTTTGGTGATCATTTTACCCGGTGGTCAGCTGGTGCCGATCGTTATTCGTATAACGAGCACGACAAAACAGAAAAGTACAAATTACAGGCCACTTTTAAGGTTTTATTGAATAACTCATAATGTCGGCCTTGGTGTCGTTTATGTTAAAATATTTTGGAACAAAGTTGGTATGCCTTTGCTCATTCGGCCAATCGCCGCCGCGGTAAACGAGGACGGCGGAGCCATAGTTAACAGCGGAACGGCCGTTCCACCAGTTTGTATTATCGACCTTTACTTTGACAAAAATGAGCCATCTACTAAGAGCTCTACGCAAGACTCCGTTATTTGAAGATTGGTTAACTAAATCACTAGAAACATCAGAGGTCAAATCGCTCCCTGTGAATGCTTTTTCTTCTCTTGAACTGACTCCTTTGCCTCATGAGAACCAAAGCCACGTTCTTTTCGCCTAAGAACTAGATGTTAAAGTCTCGCCTACCTAGGCGAGGTGCCTGCAGGCATGTTATTCTTTTTTGCTTAGTCCTCTTGTATTTCCTCTTTCTTCCTTGCCAGCTGGCGGGTGCCTACGTTTCACAACTATAGTTAGCTTGGCAGACACTTCATTGGAATGGCACAAAAGGTGATTGGAACCCATGACGGCACTTTCCACTGTGATGAAGTTTTGGCAATTGCAATGCTTAAGCAACTCCCCGAGTACAAAAATGCAGATATTATTCGCACCCGCGAGATGGCAAAACTGGGCACTTGCGACATCGTTGTCGATGTGGGCGGCCTTTTCGATGCTTCCTCTCATCGCTATGACCATGGTCAGCCGTAATTCGTTTAAACCCTCCCCATTTTTATACGTATCCGTTCTTAGATCATTTAATCTTACCATAAAGGACTTCCATCCTCATCTGGAACCCGTCGTGAAACTGAGCAGTGCAGGTCTCATTTATGCACACTTTGGTAAACGGATAATTTCTGAGATTGCTGGCCGGTTGTATTCTGACGCGGACTTGGAAACGCTATTCAATCAGGTATGCTATCTGCTCCTCGGTGTTTTCGAAAACCTAGGTGTATAAAAGCTTTATCAGTGAAGTGGATGCGATTGACAATGGTGTGCCCATCTCAGACAGTCCAACAGCGTAACTCCTTTTATTAATAATAATGGATTCAGCTACCAAATTTCAACTGGACTAAGTAGCCGAGTGGAGCGTCTCAACCCAGCCTGGAATAAAGCAGAAGACGAATCAGTAAGTTGCCTTCAGGACTGTTTTAAAAAGTGTAAGAATTTAAAGAACTGGCCTGGAACCCTAGCCACTGCCCCCATTTTTGTTTTTCTCTTCTTATTCAGTCTCGCCTCATCAGCAGTTAGTCATTTTCAACCGCAAGGATTCCGCTTTTTGCTTCTTTCCTTGCATCAGCCATCAATTGGACTGTTGTGTATGCCAGTGTGACATCAAAAACTGTTTGATTTAGCGCAGTACGCGTTCTATGACCAAGGTTAGGTCCTAGGCTGTCTTTTCTCAGTCGGGACTTCATTCTCGACTGGTTTTAATTTACTGTATCCGTCCTTTGTTCAATTGGCTACCATGACCGCAGCGCGTCCGAACAGGAGCTGAAGACGTTTTTGCCATGAAATAATTAGCCATAGATATGTCGGGACTTGCGGATAAATCACCCGAGACTACCATTTTCCGGTATGCTGTCAGCAACGAGCGCCCAGATAGATGATGAGGTATCCCTTTTGTGATCCGGTCCATCAGCCCATCTTGCAATATTCTCAGTCTGTACTAAATCAAAAAACAGCTCGTGTGGTGCTTAGTTCGCTTCGCTCAGAGACCATTTTCGGCATCCACTCAACTTCGCTGTGTAAGATAATGACGTCACCCGCCAACCCCACTGATGTGTTCTACTCACCACACAGGATTCTTTCAGAATACTATCGCGTCGGTTGAATTTTGTTTTTATCGAAAGTAGACGAGGAACCCACGTGTCCTTACTATTCAAAGCTAGGAAGGAATGATCCGAAACCAATGTGACGAGGGTGTTTGCTAGACAAGTCCCTAGCTCTGCCGACTTAAGACTTTCTTGCTGAATGACAATAAGTTTTTCTCGGAGGGAGTGTTTTATCTGCCAATAACGTTGGAAGAAGATGTGTCTCAAATTTCAGGACTGTGCCTTCCAGGACCTTGTGCGAAGTATCGGGGGCCATCTTAAGCCGTATTTTTGTTTATAGCGGAAATCGTCTGTAGGCAGCTACGACATCGTTTGACCTTTACATCCTTAACCAGGACAACGGTAGGTACTGTTCACTGAGATGCGTTTTGGACGTCCGACGTTTCCAAAAGCAATCCGAATTCTCCTTCTCTATGATTTGACATGTTTGGTATAACATCTTCATCACATGGCTTCCAGTTTCGGTACGCCTATCTGCCTGCCTAGTACTTCGCCAGCGCCGTCTATAAAGTGACTGTTGCCGCTTATCTGCTGCTCAGACCACATGGTCAACCGTCGCTGAACAGCTGTTTTTTTGAAACTGCCTTTCCGAGCTGTTACCTTACTGGATGGCATCGGAGTTTAAATTGGGCTTCACCCTGTATTTCCTTGTTCCGGATACTAGGGAGCCGAAACTGTTGATTGAATTGCGGGACATTCAATACGCGTTTTTTCTTGATCAATTGTTTCCTGGTATTTCCCCACGAATCTAATCATCCTGACCACCAGTGTGCATCAGCACCTCTGACACTGACAGATTCTGACTAATGAATTTCATCTTTCTGTTTAACCAACCTGACAGCACTAAATTTTTTATTTTCACTGCGAAATGCTCAACGCACCAGTACCCGTGTTAAATGCATGAATTCAGGCCTCCAAATTCTCTGTAGGGTGTACATACTTTCCGCGAACTCTAGTTACTTGCTTCTTGGCTTCGGCACTTTGCTTCGTCCTCGTCGTCAAGATCAGGCACACTGAGGCCGCAAGTGGATAGCTATTTTCACATGGACACTCTTCCGAACCATCTTATTGTTGACCGTGTTCCACTCTAATTACCATAACCCCTCAGTCCTTCCACGACAAACTTAAGCGTCGATACGACCGAAGAGGTCAATTCCAGGGAGCAGGCCAGAAGATATGACCTCGGAAACAAGAGCCTTAGCGGCTTGACGTTCCGGATACTCACCTGGACCCAGCACCAGGTACAGTCGCAGATAAGTGTGGTGGATGAATGCGGGGCTGCTAATTATGGTAGGTGCTTAGTTGCGTGAAAATTCACGGGAAGACCTATTCCGGGGTCTGCCGGTATATTGTCCTTTCGGACCTTTCGTGTTATCTCATGAGTGAAGACCTGTTCCTTCAGACTGGCTGCTATTAACCGCTAACATTGGTATGTGTTAAGTTAGACGTTAGGGGTTCTATTTTATGTGAAGATTTTGTATGATTAAAGAATGAGTATGGGAGAAGTAAGAAGCCCTTCAAGACGTTGAAAAGCTTATCTCAAGGCAAAAAAGTGGAAAAGTGGAAAGGGGAAGATACAGCCGTGGTTAGTATTTAGTGACCGATTGAATTCTCTCATTTTCAGGTTTTGCTTATAATTGTCTGTCGAGCTAAATGTCCCTCGTCAGGTGCGGTAAATGATGACATTAAAAGTGCCATCATCATGCATCTATTGCTCTGTCGTATTATTAGAGGGATTTACCACTTCCGTTCACCATGTGTTGCAGCAATGCTTCTCCAAGGCGTTGGCCATGGTTACTGAGGAGTTGGTGGGTAACGTTAGGCGCCTGGCATACGTGTGGCTACCAGCCAAAGCAATTGTAAAGAATTGTTTTAATTCACGCTTTTCCGTCCATCCATCTGGACTGATTATGCGACTGACGCCCGCCGGCTGCCCCTGGATGGAGCATTTCTTTGAGCTGGAAAAAGAGCAGAGCGTTGGAGAGGACGCTCCGTCGGAAAAAGGACAGCTTCCTTTCATCAAACGAACTGTCTTCCTTGTCAAGGATGGTACTAAGAGATTCTCCGTCACAACCATCCCAATCACCTTAGATCAACCATTCTCAAACCGGTAGGTCCCTCGTGTTTTGGCCATTCTTGGTTGTTGCTGAAGAGGATTCCGGTCCTATGTATTGCGACGGCTCAGAATGCAAATCACAAAAAAGCAGTTGTCCGTCAATGGATGCCGAAGAAGTACGATACACTTTTATGGACGTCACGTGCCTGATTGAACTTAGTGATTACTTTGCTCGGTGTCTACCTGACAGTGGAGTCTTTGTTGGGCATAGGGAATAAATTTTACAATTGATCGTAAAACATTGCATTTTATTATGCTACTGGAGATGAGACTTTTACCGCATTCGATTTCCAGACTACAAATAAGTTATGCTTCCCGACTGAACTATCCGTCAAGGGATGCACATAATGTGGGATACACCTTTTTGGAGTGTCATGTCGTGCCATATGCTCGATTGCGCGTAGTTATTACTTTGATAGGCCTCCACCTGACACCCGGCTCTCACAGCTGGCTCCTCTAAACTGTACTCTGTGCACCGGCCACACTGCACAGAGTACAGTTCCTCCTCACCCACTTATCTGGTGTTTGTAACACCAGTAGACAGGGAATTTGTGCCAAGTCAGCTACTGTGCATGATCTAATTTCAAGTCAGCGTGACCCGAGCTTGTCACTGGGAAGACGGATGAAAAACGATTCTTTATTCACTCCCTCACTGGTGTCTGCCCTGTTGTCTGACTAGATAGTACGCAGTCCTTCCTTCCCGAAAGCTCATATCGGAGTTCTTCGTCCTCTTAGAACCAGTATCGCTGCTGCCGGCATGCATGACCGAACACTTGCAGTGTGACGGCTTCGATTGCCCCCTCACCCAGTCTTCGCAACTGGGTCTCCACGATGACATTGCCTGTTAGGACTTGCGTTTTTCTAGTTTGAGAGTCAGTAAATAACTAAACCGTAATCGGCGTCCACTTGTATCCAATAATACACTGATCATCTTACTAAGTTTCGCCTAGCTTGCGGTCACCTACGGGGTTGCAGTTAATGCCGCATCTTTGAGATGGCAAGGCGGTGGCCAAACCATACTTCTGCACCACAAAATTGCCTTGTTTGACGGCATGTCCCGTTGATCACGTCCTGTGGTGAGGACGTGCTCCAGCAGTTTCTGGTAACGCGATCAGGGAATGGATCCTCGTAGTCTTCTTCCGGTTTGGAAGACCGAGAGGTTGTTGCTGATAAGAAGATTGTGTTTTTTCAGGGAGGGTGAAGGAGGAGGAAGCGACTGCCGTCGAAGCCGCCGATGCCATAGCAGCATCTGACTTACACTCTTCCCACGTTCACCGTATGCCAAGGTCAGGACGTAGCCAAAAGCCAGTGGGAAAAGATGCCATTATTTTGGCTGATGGGGTTAGAGCCCCTTGTTTTACGGTTCACTGTGATTCCTCTAGAAAAAATCTCAGCCTGTATGAAATCGACCTCCACATCGCATTTTACGCGGCAGGTCCCAACGCCATTGTTAAATGTTCTTCACAATGTCCGTGAGGATGGTACCTGCAAAAACGTCTGCGTGGTTGGCATTCAGTGTTGATGTGCACATTTCTAAACTGTGCGTTTCCTACCAAACCTTGAATCCTTTAATTACTGAACTTTGTCCGCATAACCATCCACCATTATGGTTTTGTGCTATATCAACAGACAGGTTAAAAGTTAGAGAAAACCCGCGTTTAAAGTTACTTTTTCTCTGAGAACTGTAATTCACTAGATACAAGCAAGGAATACTGTACACACTGCCTTTCCACGTGTGCGATTTTCACAGGTGATGGCAGCGATGTTCAACGAGGGCGTGCATGCTGCTGTGTACTCTCTGACTCGCAGGCATTCTCCCTGTTTCTTTTTCTGTTGGACACCTATTTGACAACGTTGAACGCGTTGATTGGGTTCGGGCACATGACAGATTGACCGTCGCTGCCGACAATGTCCACCGTGGACGCACGCAGGGACGGTGACACGCGCGTGAGCTACTTTACTAATGGTTATGGGCTTGCGCAGCATCTACCGCACACTCTCCTCCCTCATCTGTTTGGACCCGGTGCCAAGACAGAATCAAGAAGACCGGTGGGGAATTGGGCGCAGTGGTAAACATGGCCCAACGGCCCGTTTTCGTGTGCCACACGCCTGGTGCGCGCACAATGAACGAGACTTCGCGCGCCCTAATTGAAGCGTCACCGTCTGCTGTCCAGCCTCACGCCTATTTCAGTGGCTCTCAGACTCGAGATACTTCTTCAAAGAGGGTAGCAGCTTCCTCATGCCGATTTAGAAGAATGCGAGAGTTGAAGACGTCTTAGTCATTGTGGTCTGGTTTTTTCTCGAAAAAAGTGAATAGAAGCACCTAAAAAGAGGTAGTAAATGGGCAACACCAACAATTTTCCAATTCCCGAATAATTTTGGACCCGCTCTACCCTCACACTTGGATTCAGGGCTTCCAAACTACAAGCCGTATATTTTTCACGTACGGAAAACCACACATTTCCCTACGATAATAAAGGGGAGGTGCTGTTTGAGAAACTTGAAGGAATATTTCCCCGGAATGAATTTAAAGCAAGCAAGGACCATATAGGGTTCATCAAATTAAGCAGTGGATTTGATCCATACTGTTAACTTTACAAGCCACATTGGTAAATGCAGAGAAATGACGATTTATGAACGACCATTTCACGGTATTTAAAAGTCCCACAATTAGAAACTTTTTAAAAACCGAATTATGTTCCTCCTTTGAGCATAAAATCAGAAGAAGACGTAAGTATCTACCGAATGAGCAAAAAATAAATATTTTCATGCATGTTTTCCATGAAATATAAATGAACTTTTAAGGACATCGGAACTCAATGAGAAAAACTCATGCTACTTAATTAGCCATTTTTACTGAATGTAGTTTTGGTATGCAGCCGGAAAGATGTTCGTTCGAAAGCCGGCGTCCTGAGGTTACTGAATTATTATAGAATTATGCTGCTGGATGATTCTTTCTCCGACTCTACTTAATTAATCTTTTTGAAACGAAGACGCATTTCGGAATTTTGGTTGACGTTTCATGAGTTAACCCACCCACTGTATAGTTCGTATGGTGGATGGGGCACAGTTTCATAGTTTGGCAGGCTCCACCTCTTGGCGACGGCACCCTAAACATGCAATGCAAAAGGATTGAGCTATTTCGACTCATCAGAGACAGTTGTACTGACACTTCTGGAGTATTTTTCAGTTGCCTAACTGCCGTGGCCCATGCACCAACTTTCAGGAAGTTGTACTGGACGATGCCCGCAGAGGATCATCAAACTGTGACCTTGGACGTCATGGGTGGTAGCTGAATTTTAATGTTTTTTTGTGGTTTCAGTTCTGTGAGTCCATTGTGTTAAACAGTGACGATTGACATGAAGTACGCTATGGCGCGGACCGGATTTGGGTCGTTTTCCTTTTAAGTAAGCAGCATTGGGCAATTTTCAAAAAGGCGCATTTACTTCCTACTAAGTTCATTCATTATCCATTTGTCAGTCTGTGATCTTTCCCAAAGTCTGGGGGCGTCGGGAAGAAGTCTAGTTGTGTTGCAAGCTGGAGGGCTGTTTTCTCTGCACTCCTCATCGTAAAGGGCCGGAGGGGGTTTGTCGGCATCCTTTTTCGAGACTAGTTTCTCTGAAGTCCAGGCTTGAGAAGCGGCCTTTCCCTGTTCAATGTAATATGAGGAGATTTCGGAGCATATCCTCAGCCTCTGTAACTTTCCAGAGAGTTCTACTACTCACCGAGTTGAATGCTATGGCGAAAGGAAGAAAGTGATCGACTTCCACCAAATGGAATAGAGTATTTCGGTGTCGATCAGAAGGTAAATATCTGATAAACGCGCCTAAGCCAGGGCGAATTCCGTTTCAGTCTCTTTCCTATCTGTTATCTGGCTGTCTGGTCTTCTGTCGGAAGGACTGACTTCTATGCCCCCCTAAACAGAACATGGGAATAGGAATGCCCCGCCTAAGTAAGAAACGTGGACCTGCACATAATTCCTGAAATAGCAAACTATTCCCGCGCCTTAATCTCAATAAAAGCTTTAATATGCAACCAGATTGTTGCCCCAATTTTGATCCTAACCCTAACCCTTACCTATGCAGCCTACGCTAGTCCCTACCTTAACGTTGAACTTGCTCCTGACTTATCTTACCACTAACTTTAAATCTGGCCTTAAACCTGGCCCTTATCTCACTGGAAGTTGGCTCAAAGCCACCCGTATTGCGGGCGGTTCCTGTTGTCGTGTCGGGGGCCATATAGCTCAGTCCTACCCTTCTGTCATTCGTGACTGCCAGCTTTAGCGTAGAAAATGTGCGTCAAGAGGTAGTTGTTCATTGTCTTCGCCCCTTTGATTCCGGCCAATTTTTTCACATTTTTAGTTGCGTGACCATTGCTGGACTCTTATGTGCCTCCTCAGCAAGTGCAAACCAGATAGCATCGTTCATTAAACAAAGTGCTTTTTGTAGGGTCATGTTTCCAGAGCCATGGGCTGGCAAATGCGGTCGGGAACTGGACAAGGTCGTAGGTATCAGTGGCTGCATCTTCGTCCACTCAAACCGCTTCCTGGGCATACACAGGACCCGGGAGGGAGCCGTCGAAATGGCCAAACGTGCTCTTAGGGCCGCTGGTTATTTGTAAATTCAATCCTCCAGCGTACTTGCCTTCATAACAACGCTTTTCCTATCAGCCGTTTATGTCAACTGTTTGCCCCCTACCACCGGCATATTTTAGTTTTACAAACATATACATTTACACCTTTCCGACTTCGAGGAAGTCGTCGTGGCATCTTCCTGCTGTGGACCTGGCTTCAATGAGGCAGTGGTGAGGCCATTCTTAAAAAGAAAAAGAGAAAGCTATGCCTTGAATCCACTCCGAAATATCAGGCAAAACTCTCCGTTCACCCTGCGCAGGATACAAATGCATAAATTGCGACAGAATAAATTTGTTTACGTAAAGTTGTATAATCATTATGTGGACAACTCTAATCTCAGTTTCTGGATTTTTTGTCTTCGCACGTCGGATGTCGTTTCAAAAGAGTAGTATTACGGTTCTTTGATACGCCGATGTACGACAGGAGATATGTCGCAAGCCACGGCGCATGGAGCTCAAAGATTATGCAACAATTACGTCACTGTGAAGGGATCGACAAAGCCATTAAGAATTCCATCTGCAAATTTCTTGACCGTTGCAAAATGTCCTTGTATTATGATCTCAAACAAAGGCATAAGAGACATCGGTAGCAAAGTGAGCGTGTCAGAGATACGTCTCGAAATGAGCATCTTCCCCTTAAGCATAGCAGGAAGAACAACAGAACAGTCTTTTGAGTGATTATTTATATAGGCTGGACAGCCTGGAAAACGCTCATTTTTAATACGTGCGTGTTAACTGAGGCCTTCCGGGCAGTTTACCAGAGATCACTGTGCTAGCACCTACTCAGAGTCGCCGTTAGGCTGCAGTACCCTACTTTGTCTGCGCAAAACAGTTCCTTGTACATGACGGTTAGACGCTGCCGACGATGGCTACCGTGCGCTCCACAGCAAGGTGAGTGCAGGCACGGTGACTTGTTTATAGTGGTAGTAGATCCGCACAGCATCTACCGCACTCCCTCCTCCTCCCCCGCCTGAGCTGGGTGTCAAGACATAGCCAAGAAGACCGAAGGTGAGAGACGGTGCAGATAACTGGCACAGATTGACCTACACCTAGGCATTCCACCACACGCCCTGGTCCACATCAAATGTCTGACCAGGATTTTAACCAGCAACAAAGGTGGGTCAGAAAGGATAGAGGATGACACAAGTCACTGAGCAACCATGCACACGTTCTGTATATCCAGCGGGAGCGCAAGCGCGTCCACCGGCTGGGAACCAGGTGCCAGAGAGCTGCCAGCGCACACCAGGGTGTGAGGGTCATGGTATGGTAAAACATGGCATAGCAGACGCACACAATGCCGCCTGTAAAAGCTACAACGTAAAATGACTACCTAAGTAGTATAACTTTTTCCATCGATTTTCGACGCCATTATAAACCCAAATGTTTTCTATAAAATATATTTGAGTCTATAGGGACATCGAAAACCGATGGAAAAAGTTGTACTGCTTAGATAGTCATTTTACGTCGTAGATTTTACAGGCGGTCGAAAAGAAGCCTGACACACAATCCTTAAAGCCAGTTTCCTTTACATACTGTCGTGCTCTTGCCGATTGGCGTGTTGCCGCTCTGTTCCTGGGCGTGTGATAATTACTCAGTCGTTCTACCGCGCCGCACTCCCCCCAGCCCTGCTGCAGTCCAAGCGGCCTGGGTTAATCATTAGCTAACTAAGAGAAATGTCGGTACAACGATATCAAATAACTTCAGATTCAATGCTGGCGGACCAAGCGGAACCGAATTTCTGTGTCCCGGAAGTATAGGGAACGGGGTCATGTAGGTTGACAAAATATTCTGTGCTAAGGGATACCGGATAGAGCGAGTTTACGGTGGTGGTGCAAATCGCGATGCTGGAGGGAGGAGTCTCGTTTTATGCGTTGAGAGTGAAAAGGTGAGGCATTTTTCAGATTGTCTCCGTGGTCTGATATTCTAATTTATGTGCAGAGGCAAGATAAATGTTCTTGCACGCGCGCGGAGACAACCAACTTAGAACGTAGGCGGGTGAATGGGTGTGTCACCTGGTGTGACAGTCGTCTGGATCGGCAACTGCCTGATTTGTCTCGGCTGCATGTCGGGTCGGCACGTCTGGACTACACGGTGCAACCATGTCAGCACAAACACATGAGTGGGGTTGGACGGGTGGTTTCAGCAGCTGACTAGAAGTTGAGTGCCGCATCAAGTATGTTTGCCTTGACTCTCCACAGGCCCATTTAAAGAATGTCAGGAGGCTGTCCTGTGATGTTCGATGATGGACTACCTGTTGTTGTCCCGCCATGCGTCAATGTCTCCTTACTGTCTATGTTTATCTGCTGGCTGTAATTTAAGTGTGCTTTCGCTTAAGTCGGTTTGGGTTCTATGCAGAGCCCTTGGGTCTGAGCTGACAAGCAAAAGCAGTCAATTCGACCATCGCTAATGACGGTGTTCGCCTTAGCAGGGTGAGTGCAGGAACGGTGAGCAGTGCAACTTCCGCTGTCATCCATCGGGCTTCGATGGCAAAATGGCGATGAGACGACCGGAGGCGGGATCGGACGCAGTGGTTTATAGGGATAAACGTGCAGAGCCTGTGCCATGTTTCTTTAGAGACGACTTGGACCTCACGTGCGTGAGACTGCCATAAAGTCCACCTTAAGAGGGAGCTCTTGGAGCCTGACTCACAGTCCATCTGTCGGCCATTCCACGAAAACACACACTGGGCTGACTGCGAGGTCCGGGTTATCCCTTCAGTTGGCAGCCTTCCGAGACACAGCTTTTAGCGCGTCAGGTTTATTATAGTGAGGAATGCGTTGATGTGCCTTGGGAAGGACTCTCTGGTGTTAGCCCCGCTCCCTCTCCCATGCATCGATCGGCCGTCCGAGCCTGTCAACTGGCTGGTGTAGGGATTGGGCGCAGCGAATGTCGCGGTATGAGGTTCTACGTCCAGTCGTGTCAATACAACCCTCCCATTTATAGTAGTAAGTTTGGGCTCTCGCGAATTTTGTGCAGCCCTAGAAGCGCATACCGCGAGTCAATCTCGTCCCCGTTCTGATCCAGGTGACCTCCGTCGCAACCCGTCGTAGGGGTCGGGTGTATACATGTAAATAACCAGTCAAATATGTTGCCTGAATGATCGGCGACTGTGCGGTTAGGTCAGGGTAGCTCGGTATTTGCTGTTTAGATACCCTGGAGTACTGCTGTCCAATAAAGCTAATGTCTAGAATCTCTAGACATTACTCCCACTGTCAGCGCGCGACACAGACACGGACTGCCTCCGTTAGACATCTCCGCATCTGCCGCACGCTCTAGCCACCTACCGGGGTAACGGTAGACTGAGGGCACCCAAGTATCAGAGACTAGCCACACGCACCTTTCTTATGGGAAAGGTGGTAATAGGAATTTTACGGTGGGACGTATGGATGGAAGGTAAAATAAAAAAAAAAGGGAAATCAAGTGGGGTATTTGATTTTGCGCTGTAAAACTTTAATACACTGACGTACAGCAAACAAAACTAAACGAGGCAATCAAAAAATAAACAATGAGTGGCGTTCAAATAATAAACCAATTTAAGTGAACCGCCAATGGTAAGTTTGCATCAGGACAGGTATCCATCTATTCCGTCCAATCTGCAAAATCATTTTTGACTAACTTCCTCCACAAATTAAATCGCCCGTTTGTGCTACATTTCGTTTTTTCCATTAAAATAGGCGAATTAGTGAAACAAGGCATGACTACCACCGTATCTATACAGTGCTGACTCGTTTTTTCGGTTTCTCCCGAAGCAGAGCTTGCTACTCACAAAGGACCTGGGACAGTTTAACATGAAGCAACTTCTAGTCAGCTGATTCCTTCACCTATGTTGTGATAGGGATGAAATAAAAAAGTGAAGCTAGAAAGGAATGAGTCAGCCCTTTATAGGAAAGCTTTGCTGTATCATAGAACACTGTGAATAAACTGTGACAAAACATTCTTCCTCAAACCCTGGAGAATTTGGCGCAGCACATCTTCAGAACTGTCCTACACCGAAAACGTGAGAAATCAGAACCGCATGTCTCCTGTTTGGATTGATCACAAAGTAGGCGAAATTGTTCGGATGTTCTTCTGGCGCGGGGAAGAGCACCTCATTATTTCTCTAGAAAAAAAGCATGTTCAATAGGTTAATGCGCAAAGCAACTTGCCTATACAGTTCAAATTGGATATTAGATTATTACGGCCCACGCTTCTACCCTTTATGCTGATCTCTACTTAATGAGGTAGTAGACAAGTTTTGTTACGGTTTCTGGCATTGTATCACGAATTAACCATGGCTGATAACAACTCTCGAGATACTTTTCTGTTTGAGCCAAAAATCTGCTTTAGTAGACTCCCGAGTCCAAGGCATCGCGAAGCGGTGCGGCCCGTATCCTGCGACTGTTGACTAGACTCGCAGCGATCGCAGTCGACTTGGAGTTCATCTCCCCGACACTGATGGGCCCCAGAGTTCCTTCAAGACATGACTCATCTACACTTGTCCGCCGTTTACTCTGCCTCATGATGACTGTGCCAAATGGAAGAGGGGTTACTAGCGAAAACTCCGCGGACGAACTCCACATAACGACGGCTGAGAAGGCGCCCGTAGAAGATGCCTCCGCGGTGCCAATGGAGATCTCCGCGCTGTGGTCCGTGAGCCAAGGCTAAATTACTCCCTGAAGGTACCAACTGTCGGTTACCTCGACCTTCTCGAAGTCAGCAGGTCGTAGAGACCGACAGAAGAGGACAGCTCTAACCGTGTCTTTGTAAATCTTCGTTTTTATGCAAAACCTTGCCTTGGGTCAAAATCCCGAATCGGCAGAGCATCCTGTTTCAAAGTTTTAGGCGGCGGTTTACAGTCCCGAACATTTGTTGGTCGGTAGCACGAAAGACCCGGGTTGAACAAAACATTTAGCTGCGCTAAATTCCTCGCCATCCAGCGGGACGGGGTAGTGCCGTAAGGTGTGACGCATTGGTTTTCCAAATGCTTACTTTCAGCTCCCCTCTGTGGAACGCAACTGTTATGCCGTCAAGGGCGAAGTGCACTTCCTTGGAATATTTTCAAAGCAGAACTATGTCCCAGACGAAACGACCCGCTCGTGCTTGGACACCTTGATGGTCATGGGGTCTTCTTAATAGCACCGCAAATATTACATAACTAAGAAAGGACCGAGGAGAGCACTCAAATTGTCGGATGACAGCGTTGGGGATGAGATACCCACTCTCGTTGCGATATGGTTAAGGTTTCAGGCACATAACCTAAACGTATACCTTCACTAAGATCACAAGTTTCGAGCGCAAGGCCTCCCAGACCGCATTTCGGTTGACTGGACCGAAAACTGCCGCGTAAACGAGGAAACTAACGTCGTATTCGCTTTTTTAAGAAGCGGTTCTGTTCTGAGATTTGCTGTGGGCTGAACGGCCCCCAGATGGCTTCTCGTAGAATGGAAACGCTCCTCCTGTCCCCGCGTCTCTGGCGAAGTTAAAACGATTCAATAGGATATTCGCGGAGATCTCCGCGGCCATTCCTACTAAGCTGACACCTCTGAAGGTGTGAAATTCCATCTTCTCTCCCTTTTTGAAGAAAGGCAGGGAGTAGATCGGCGCCGCTATGTTTCTGTGAGACTGAATCGGTGTGTTACACTAGCTGAAATATCTTCCCCAGTCCTCCTAAGAACTTCGACTTGCGATCTGTTGCCAATCAAGGTTCAGTTATTTCGAAGACGCGGAACGTCAGTGTACGGTAGCAATTATGGGGGTTACAAGGGCAGCGGTTATAGAAGCCACGCTTAGCGCACTAGACGATGGTGAGCTGAGCACCTTGATTAGATATTGTTGACAGCTGAATTAGGTGGCGCTCAAAGATGTGATAGGAGAGCCCGCCTGAACTTTGACAAGCCGACTGTCTGCTGAGCTGTCTTTTACTTGAGAGCAAAAAGTTGGCAGAGTTTTCTTGTGCTAATTCAGCTAATTCCATTTGCTGACAGAATTCTGCAATTATCAGTTTTGGTTGGGTCCCACCGATCGCGCGTCAGACAGAGCGATATCCTGAATCTGGGTCTACAGCGTTCCGTGCGTAACACAACTTTTAATGCTGCTGGCCAACGCTTAGTCCCTGGGTCTGCGTGTCATGTGACGTATAATAGATGAGCTATCTTATTAAATGTTAACCGAAATTTTGAAGTGAGTTTTTTTAGTTAGAAAAGATTACTTAGGTGGGTTTGTAATATTGATTATGGTGCAGAAAATTTCCGCAACACTTTAGTCACTCCAGGGTACTGGCATTTGGGTGGGCTTCTTTCCGGCCGCTCGTGCAAACCACACTCGGTAAAAAGTAGCTATTTATATAGTAAGAAACCTTCTCACCGACTTTTGACGCCCCTTATAAGTTCAAACATATTCTATGAAAAACGTGCATAAAAATATCCTTCCTCATAATCATTTGATGAAGCGTTACGCCTTTGAAACCAAGAAACAAAACGCCACTCTGCATCTTTTTCCGATTGTACATATCACGTTGGCATGAAGAGTCCTTGGTTTAGCTTTGCTGGCATGCGTGTTTCATGCATGTAAGCATTTTGATGTCGGTAGAAGATATATAGATAGGTCAGAACACCACCAAATTAATTGTTGTACTCGCTCTTGCATCGTCGTCAGCGTCGAGCGTGGGAGCATAGATGACCACTACACATGTGCCAGTAATTGTCATTTAACCATATGGAAGCGGTGGGCGACGGACAAGTTCTCATACCATGGAAAGCGTTGGCCATCATCTGATTTACCGTTTCTCAGATGCCATGTCTCGCGGATTTTTCGTAACCCTCGCCATGTTGCCAGACGGAACACTGAATTTTCACTTTGGACCACCGAAATACTCTATCTAATCTCTTTGGGCTTCATTCGTTCCTATCGAGGCGGAAAATTTAGACTTTAGATAGTCTACTGTGCTCTGGTCCGTGAGTGGGGCCAAGGTCATGGGATTCGATATCGCTCTGATGGTCCCACAGCGAACCTACTCAGTCATCTAAATAGCAGTTCAGCTCTGGGCGTCTTATGGTAGAAAGCACAATTAGCAGAAATCTATGAGCGATCGGTTCGCCAGAGACTGTTCACAAAACGCACGTTAAATTAAGCCTTCTACAATCCTATTGTTTAAGCGTAAAATGCAAGCAAAACTTTGTCCGAAAACAAAAGCCTCTCGACTCTGAACCGCGCGTTTTTATGCTCTGATAACCTATATTATCAACATATCGTTCGAATTGCCTTATAATTCGAACCTCAGCAAACGCATCGAGGCCCAGTTGTTGGTATTCGTCAGTCACCGAATATACTTATACTTCATCCTAAAGTGCTGAAAATGTTAGAACCGGCAAAAGAATATGAAGATTAGTTTAGATATAAAGTTCAACCTATAATATAATGCTCTGAAGTACCTTGATTTTCAGAGAGTATACGTGGGAAACGATGCGAAGCTCCTTTGAAGCCTGGTCCTTTTGGACGCTAAGTTTTGAAATTAGAATTGCAACAGGTTAAGAACCTAATGAGGTCACGATAAAGGGACCGTACGAAGTCCAGGTAGGGATTTATTTCGTTTTCAAACTGGCAGAGCTCGCCGCCGATGCAGATGTGCTTAAATAGCCTGAACAGAAACTCGTCCCTTTCTTGTTCAGTAAATAAACAGTAGTTCTCAGAGTCCTCAATGAGAAGCATCTTAAGAAATCAATTATTGTGAAAATGCGTGCCTTTCGAAGTTCATCGGAAATTAGAATCGACTCAAAGGTATCATCAAGGCACGATTTAATGATTCCGTTTTCGCGTGCTACTGTCCCAGTCAGGCGATTAAATATATCCAGTGTCAACAGAGAACAAGGAACGGGCGTCACTTCCACGCTTTCAATAACGCCTTGTAATAAGCAGAATACCAGTAGTCTTACCCGGAAGTAACACCTCAGTTTCAATCGCATGTCTTATATTTTTGTCATTGAAAAATGCCTGTCCATATCCGCACTTGAAAATAATGTTTTCTTACCATGACGAATTTTTCAACGTTGTGGGGCTTGAATGTTTCGTCAAACGCGTAGCACTGGCAATGAAGTCTGCCCTTCATTGACCTGTGGAAACGGCACAGAAACAAAGGTAAGGCTTAAAGTATAAACCATTCTTCGAGCGGGTTGGTGTGATCAGCGATAACATGAACAGAGTATATAAAACAAGAATGGTCTTTTATCTGGATAGTAAACGCACATAACCAGCGAAGGTATTTTGCGAAAAGCCGACAACCGAGTTCATGGTGGGTCCTCTGCCTCTTTAACATTGCAGTTTAAATTGACAACTGCGGCAATTACTCGGCAATATCCTCCTCATGACTCGCAAAACGATTAGGCAAGTGCTTTTGTAGTTGAGAGACGTGCCACGTATCAGGATAAGGTTTTGCAATTTTGGCCCTCCAGACCGATTGTTATATTGCATTCTCTATACACTAAGGCGCAACTCTTGAAAAGCCCGGATCCTTAAAATAACAAACAACTTCGCTCGGTGCTCGTTTTTACTTTTCAATCCTCCACGCGAGACATTCGGGATATGGATAAACTCCACATCTCAAAGAACGTTTACACACCTACTTTCCTGAATTAAGTAACAAGGTATTGTATAATTCACCTTATCGTATATATAAGTGAAGAAGAGGTTTCGAGCACCGGAACGTTTTGTTTATTGTCCTGAGCTTTCGGACTCGAGTAGGAGTCCATCGTCAGAGATAGTAACAGCAACAGAACAAGCGACAGTTATAGGGAATTTAGGCCAATCATCGACCGACAGCGCAAGACTGGAGGCGACTGTGTACGGCTCTGTGTGTCGGCGCCAAATCGACATATCGATGGACGGAGACCTCATCCGAGGTTCAGGCTTCAATCAATCCTCGGCTCGTCTTGCATCAAGTCTGATCGACCATGATGGTAGATGCGAAATTGAATTCGTGATTGGCTAATACCCCCTCTAAATGCTAGCATTACCGATAATGACTAGGGAGAATGAAATGGCGATTTCTGGTTACTGACCGTCATCAACTAGCAACACCCATCCCCCGGTCTGCAACCCCTTAACTGGCACGCAACTGAAATCCGAAGCCCATCGAGACTGGGCTATGCCTGGCGGCCATACTCTGACAACCGCCCTGACCGGAGGACTAAACCAGATGAAGGTATCTGATGTCGTGTCCTCACATTCGGTAATTCCGCTCCCCATCCTATCCCTTTGCCTTTCTTCCAGTGCAAACTGTCCTACGGATAGGGGGGAAATTAGATCCCGTAGGCGGCTCAGGTTAAACCAAGTTGTCTTTCTATTAAACAAATATATGACTCATAATGGTGTTCGGCAGACGCATGGAATGTCTAGGCAGACATGTTTAGAGATAGCGCTGCCTACCATGCGAGATCAGGGGTTAGAGATGGTGCTCTATGCGATTTCTGGGAACTCACGACATCTGAAAGCAGACCGTGGCTCGCAGTTGCAAAATCCGCGACTAAAACGACCAGACAAACAGCAAATCTCGTTATTATCCACTCCGGTCCATCCCATAGGCTGCTTGAATAACTCTGCTCACTCTGGTGGCCTGTAATGTCCATTCTATTTTAGATAATCCAGACGGAATGGAGGATGACACCGGTCACTCAGGAAATAACGCGCTACAAGGTGGATACCGCTACCGTCAACGAAACCAGATTGGCCGAAAGGGATCAGCTGAAGGAGATGGGTGCCGACCACATCTTCTTTTGGAGAGACCTTCTAAACGTACAGCGGCGCGATGCCGACGTTGTCTATGCCATTCAAAACAACATCGTGGGACGACTGCCCTGTCTGTCAGGGACAGCAAAGACAGTCGGACAACCCTGCAGTTGGCTCTTTGGATTGCACAATTTGCCACCGTCACCAGATCCTACGCACCTGTCCAATGACCACTCCCGGCAGCACCAAAAACAAATGCTGCAAAGACCTGTAGGTCGCCCTGGCGACTTTGCCGAAGGCGAGCGAGCTGATTGTTCTTGGCGACCTCAGTTCTAACATTGGAAAAGATGATGCTGCCTAAGAGGAAGTACTGGGTCCCATGGACTTGGCGCCTGCAACGACAACGGTCTTCTCTCAGAAATCGGCACAAAATGCCGTCTCCTCCTAACCACTGTCTTCCGCCTTCCGATGCGGGAAAAATCAGCGTGGATGCACCCCAGAATGCGTCGCTGACATCTGCAAGATTACGTTGTCATCCGAATGCGAGATCAACAGGACGTGCCGGTGGCAAAAGTGATCGGAAACGTCAGCGGCTGGACGGACCACCGCCTAGTCGTCTTCAAGATGAGGCTCCGGCTGTCACCCCGCAAAAGACCGCAAGGTAAGCGACCCCCAGGTAACCTGAATACTATTCTGTGCAGTGAGTTTGCTCCCCGATTCGGGTTGGCAATCGATTAACCCAGCACCTGGAAACAATGCAGGTCCCGGAAGACAACGCCGTCGTTGAAGCACAATGGGTGTAAACTTCGGAACACAATTCATTCCATCATAATCGGCCAGCCCTCTCAATTGGAGACGAATAACGAACTGGGCCTCCCGCCTTTCCTCCCAAAAAAATCCAGAGTCACACAACAGATCTCCAGCGGAGAAGCACCGGGATCTGACGCAATCACGGCCAAAGTCTATAAGTGCGGCGGTCCTAGGCTGACCGCCAAGCTGACCTCACTTTTCTGGAAAATGTGACGACAAGGACAAAGCCCCTAGGACTTCAAAGATGCGACCATTGTCCATATATGCAAGTGCAAAGGAAACCGACAATTCTGTGTCAATCCCAGAGACGTCTTGCTAATCTTTTTTGCGGGGAAAATCTTCGTTGGCGTCCTCCTCAGCAGTCTGGACATGTCCCTGGTACAGGGACTTCTCCCAGAAAGCCACTGCGAATTTTCAAGAGCCGTGACTTGATCATTACAGCTCGCCAACTACAAGAGAAGCGACAAGAGATGAGGGGAAACCTATAAAACATCTTTCTCGCTTTAAACAAGACCTTCGACACAGTCAACCGCGGTGGACTCTGGAACATAATACTGAAATATGGATGCCTGAAGTACTGCAAACATGTGGTATGTCAGCTTCACAGTGAGGCGATGACGCGCGTCACGAGCAGAGGGGCAATCACTGGTGCGTTCGCAGTTGCCAATGAGGTGGACCAGGGCGGCCTTCTCGCCCTCACCCTGTTGAGCCCCCTGTTATCCGCTATGTTGATGGAGGCCAACCGTGAGGAACGACCGAGTACTAACATCAACTACCGAACCGAAGGAAACCTGTTCATCATCTGTCGCCTGAAAGCACCTTTGAGAGTATTCAAGGCCGGTGTCCTCAATTTTGCGCTCCTGGATGACTGCGCGCTTCATACCACATCTGAAAAGAGCATATGGACTTACACTCCGGTTGCTCTAACTTCGGACTGACCATCATTACAAAGAAGACGGCAACCAACGCGAAGCGCAGTGAACCCCATATAAACGTCAGTGGAATCCAATTTGCATCAGCGGGCATATTCGTACACCTTGGAAGTACAATTTCAAGACATTTTAGGGGTAACGACTGAGCGGCCAATCTTTGCATTCTGCCAACGAACTTTTCACACCTTCAGTGGCACCTTCAAGGGAACACCCATGGGTTCCCCAATATTCAGTCTAGTCGTGGAATTGGTCCTCCAAGATCTGAAAAAGGTTGCTTTCAGTCATTACAAACCTACGTTTTGGCGCCGATACGTGGATGATATATTCGTCATTATTGAAAAGGACAGGCTATCGGATTTTCAAGACTTGCTTACTAGCGTCTTCTCCAGCATTCAATTTACAAGAGAAAACGAGGAGGCCGAGAAATTACCCTTCCTTGTCGTGCTCTTCACGCTCACATCTGATGGTAAACTCAGCACTACAGTGTAAAGAAAAGCAACCAACACAACCTATGTCCTCAGCTGACATAGTAACTACTCGGTGGTACACAAATGGGGCTGTCTGAGGACGCTTTTCTACCGGGTAAAAACGCACTGTAGCGAGCCTAAAGGAATGGTGCAAGAACTGCAGTACCTCAGGGAACAATTGGCGAAGAACGTTCATCCAAATATTTTCATCAGCTGCTGCATACGTACGCACCCACGACGGACAAACGGAAGAGAGACATCAACAATTCGGTATTCCCTACCGTACATAAAGAATGTGTCCGCAGAACGCATTGCAACAAAGTTAGGCGTGCGTGTCACCCATCATCCGGCTGCTATCACGCGTAGCAGAATCGTGAAGGTAAAGGATTGGCTGGACACAGGTGAGTGATTGGACGTAGCTATCAAATACCGTGCCATAACTGTCCTTGCCATTACACAAACCAAGCAGGACGACTTCTCAGATCACGCATACTTGAGCACAAACGAGCCGTTCGCAGAGGCTGCCAACTACCTCAAGTTGCCACTCACACGCTGGAAGAAGGCCATGAGTTCGACTTCGCCAACACGCGGATATTTGGCGCGTGCCGGGAACTGTTAGAGGCGTGGGTGTCAGAAAATGAACTCCACCAATAAACACATTAACTTGCCTGAGTGTTATCACGCATGACGCCCACGCAGCCAGGTGGCGCAGCTCACACCGCCTCGAAGGACAAACGCCGTCACCACGACGGGAGGCCATTGTGGAATAGGGAGCACGGACAAGACCTAGCTACGGATGTAACCCCCTTAAGGTACAACGGCATAAATGTTCACACGTTGCTGCACTCTAACAGTCTCTAATTATGAATTCCTGCTCGAGTTCGAAAGCTAGGGACAATAAAGCTACCGTTTCAGTAGTCGTACCTCCGTCTTCTTTTAAACAAGAGCCAGGAATGCGCATATTCTCTTCCATTCGTAGACTATAAAATATATTCCGAAAATGAATACGCATAAGCTGAGCAACAGAAGATTTGCTTGCAGTTTGCATTTTCGTGTTTTCGACTGGCGACCAATGTAGATTATCTAAGATCTCAGGCTCCTGACAATACTTACTTACATGCACCTAAAAACAATCCACCGAAAAACAGAGGAGTGCCAAATATAGGAAAGCGATGTATCGACGAGCAATTACACACGTGTTTATTCAGCAGCGGAAATTAAGCACGCAAAGTCAGTAGACCAGCAGATATCCTAACAGAAGTCGATGATAAGTCGATACTCCACTCTCGACATGTCATTGTGGGTTGGCTTCTGTTTGTTGTCGACATTGTATTGAGATGCGAATATATATATATATATATATATATATATTCATGCCTAAATACAATTTGATAGAAATTGTTTGCCAGATATATTTAAACATTTTCTCTTAAACCGTTGTCTAAGCATTGTGAGACATATGCGCAGTTAACTGACAACATTGGTTCTGACCCCATTAATATTCCGGAAATCGCACAAAATGCTATCGCGTATACATATATATATATATATATATATATATATATATATATAATTAATACTCTAAAGATCTTTAGAGTATTAACACTGGAGTATTAATTGTCGGCAAGCCATTTTTCAAGGTAGTTTTAATGCAAGAGCAAAGCAAGCAAAGTTAAATTTAGACTCCCTTTCAAAAAAACTAAAAATATTTTCCCACAACTTTACGCAATGCCAAAATTTGCATAAACGTAAATTTGAGAATTACCATTTCATTAGTGAACTAACTGCGTCTGTTGAGGTAAGAGATGGAAATTTCCTAGATGGAACGTGGTGAAATGTGTGAGTAGTTTCTGAGGCCATAGTTGAAAAAGCGGCGCAATCGTGCACAACAACGACCACCCAATCTAAAAAAACACGAACGACGCAAATTTCATAAATGTGTCCGCCGGTGATAAATTTACCCCGTAGACTATATAAACAATCGCAGACGGTAGCAAAAGCAGATTGTGGAAATGTATTAATAGAAAACCACCTGCCAGACTAACTTTCTCGTTTAAATTGAGTTTTGGCAGGAGGATGGGCAGCTTCTTTTTATAAAAAGGACAGGTGTGGAATGTATACAAGTTTATGCGGCGCCCGATAATGGCTGTTTCAGATATGGACAGATGAGGACTACTTATCGTAACACTCCGGGTCAGTTTCCGGCAGGAGATCGCTCATTCCGTAACATGTATGTCAAGGCGATTTTTGTATTTCTGACCGTTTTATTTTTACGTTAACTTCCCATGGTTTAATGAGACCTAATTGGCGTTTGAGTCTACAAGCAAAGCTTTTGATACAAACGTGTACTTCGGCATGTAAGATGCGATCGGCTGCGCAAAAAATCGCTGTTGCAATTTTTTGTCCGGTGAACCATTTTTAAGTCTCCTTCTGGAGCAAACATGGAGGCCTGCCGCGAAATGTGAACATTTTAGCGGTTTGATATATTCTCTGGTATTAGTTTGCTGAATTTTAGACATCGCCATAAACCCGCTTTTATTCATCACGACGCTAGCACTATGTCTGTAAATTCACCGTAAAAACAATGGAATCTGAGAAGTCAAGTTGTTAAACACATGTTTTTGGTAAATCATCTCCAAACTTATAAACTTACAGAAGCAATTAAAATATGAGGTTTTTACAGACGTTATAAGTATCTCGGAGGCCATTAACTCTCATAGTTTCCACGCCACCCACATGGCTAGATTAACGTGTTGCAGTTACTGGAGCAATGAGGTGACATAGACTGGGAGTGACGTTTGTAGGCCAAACACATGAACCACCCATCGCTGTCATACGGGGTTGGGATGGCGTGTATCAATTTTCTCGGGCTTTTGGCGGCCACGGAAGAGAGAGCTTCCGTGCCAACATCCTTGGACAACGTAAAAATGGATGCGTTAGTCGTATACTTATCGCCTCAGCTGTAACTAGCATCCGTTGTTTTAGGCCTTTAGACAAGCTTGCTGGTGTCCAGTAGGCAACCCGAAGGGTTTCTTTGGCACAAACTTGGTTATTCGTATCCACTGGGTGTGCAAGGATGGAAATCGAAATCGAAATGTACTCCCCTCTGTGCAACTATATCCGAAGGTGTTTAAATGTCCTCTTTTTTAGGCGTCCCGTGCTATAACCACCGTGTCCTGCTCCACAGGAACAAGTGAACAAGTAAAAACACTTCGATGTGACCTGCATTCCAAACGTAGGTGGCATTTTGTAAAACATATGCGTAAATTCGCCGCGCGGAAATCGCTCGTGATTGCTGTTCTAGGCATCCTCTTACTAGGTCGCTGGAGACATCCAACAGAAAGGGCAGTCTTATAAAAACGGCTTTTCTTCTTCGGTTATTCCCACAACTCCTGGAGCTCTGTTCGAACAGTAGAATAGAATAGCTTTATTGTAGCGCCCCTTGGGCACTGTCAGTCCCCTTTGAACTCAGGAAAAAAACCTTAAACAAACTCGTCAATTTCAAATGCACTTTGACTTCATTTGCTTCGGGTGTCTGGTTAGCCAAAAGAGCGCCAATTGAGAGTTTGATTTAAGTTAAAAAAACCTCAGTTCTAAGGGAAAATAATGACAAAATTTTCAAAAAATAACGATATGTACAATATAAAAATTGAAGTTTGCAGTTTGGTAGTTTTCGGGGGCATGAATAATATGTCCTTCATGGCAATTGAAGAACTTTGATATCGGCCTGACCTTGAAATTATTTTCCTGTTGGGTAAATTTCGGTGTGCTCTAGTTGCTGTTTGTCAGTCTATCTTGTAACGTGTCCGATCCGATTGAGGGCGAACCTCAAGGAGAATTAAGGCAATTCATAAAGAAATAATGAGACGTGTATTATACTGAACCTACTACAGTCCTCGCTACTGGTGTAATGTACACAGTTAGGGCCGCAGGAGTCCTTGCTTAACAGCAAAGCTGACAGACAACAGAAAGCCAGAACTCGAGCGTCCTACTTCGTTACTTCGTTAGCCTTCTGGGGTATTTATAGGGCCTCAGGCGTTGCAGTAGTCCAAAGATTCGAATCCGGCGTTGTGATTGGTCGAGTGGCATTGTGAAAAGAAAACAGAGCGAACTTTAGTCATTATCATTCCACTTAATTTGTACTTATTGCCTATTTCTTATGTTAAGTAATTTTATAAGCAGCCTAAATTATAACAAACAAGACACTACGTTTTAACTCACCACTATGCATAGTCAAAGTTGGTCCAGCAACACCAATCCCATAGATGATAGTAGCGCTCGCGTGAGGTTACGGTTCATTACATTGCCCCCCTCCTACGAAAAAGACCTGCTGTCCTCAGCAGCATCTGTTATCGCAATGTCCTTGCCCCCTTCAGGCGGTACTTTCACGATCCTTTCGAAATGCTGCTCATTGCTGAGTTCTTCATGCCTCGCGTAGCCCCCTTCAGGATTAACCTCCAAATATTGTTCGAAAAACTGGTTATCGTCCCAGTGAAATGGGCCGGCTTGCAGTCCGGAACGGTCGATAGTCTCATCCGTAGTTGGTGCGGGCTTTAGGCGATTGAAATGTACTGTGAACTCGCTCGAATATGGCCTATCTTGATTACGAATGAGACAAGTCGTATCCGACAGAACTTTAGTAAAGACGAACGGACCAGACCAATTAGGGTTGAATTTTGGAGGTACCCCCGCGGGTAATGTAAAATTGCGCATCCATACAACGTCTTCCACACTATACGGGGTGCCGTGCGCCAGCCGGTCGTAAAATGCCTTTTGGTGACGCTGCCCTTCCTGTAGATGCACACGGGCCTTTTTTGATGCTACACGCAAAGTTCTTCGCAGTCTTGATACATACGTGTCGACATTTTCAACCTGATGCACGATCGGAATTTGGAGGTCCTCGGGGAGTTGCATCTCCCTCCCGCACGTTAGAAAGAACGGCGTTTGTTGCGTAGTGGCATTTGCCGTGGATCGGTAGGCCAACATGCACGCTGGCAGGGCATCATCCCATGTGGGTGCTGAGTTCCGGTCAACAAAAGCCCGCAACAGGTTGATCAACGTCCGATTCGTCCTTTCCACCTGGCCGTTGCCTTGTGGGTGGTACGCGGTAGTGCGGGTTTTCTTAATCTACAGAGCCTTACACAACTCGTGTACGACGCTGCTCTCGAACGACGAGCCTCGGTATGAGTGGATTTGGTCCGGGGCTCCCCAGCAACAGATCCACCCTTTGAAAATGACTCGGGCTACTGTGGGGGCAGGCGCATCTGGTAGGGGTAATGCCTCAGCCATCTTGGTGAAACAGTCCACCATGACGAGAATGAACCGATTGCCCCTCGCGGATGGCGCGTTTTGGACAACGAAGTCTACTGCTACCCTCTCGTTGGGATAGCCCGTCTTGATTGGCTGTAGCGGGGCTCCGTAGGAGTGCCCGGGGGACTTGAAGGCTAAACAGTGTTCACAAGACCGGACAACGTTCTGTATATCGGTCTTCTGATTTGGCCAGTAGTACCGTCGGCGAAGGGCCCACTCGGTCTTATGGATGCCGGAATGTCCTAGTTCCGCATGCATCCTTTCTACCACGTCATCCACCATCGAAAGCGGCAGGACAACTTGCTTAGGGTATTGTTCATTGTCACGATAGAAGAGAACGCCATTCTCAATGAACAATTTGTCCCAGAGGCTATGCAGGCATCGCGTCTCATAACTGTGACCCGCTAGTTCAGCCTTACTGAGAGGCCGGGCGTTACTAACTTTCCTATCATATATGGGGCAGATATGTGGGTCATCGCGTTGGGCTGCGGCCCAGAGTAGGCACTGATCGCTTTGCAAAGCGATAGCGGATATGGCGATGTCCGTGCATGACGGGCATTCCCCGTGTGGTCGATAAGGTTTCCTTGTAAGGGCATCTGCATTCCCATGCTGACGACCCGGTCGGAAGATGCATTCGAAATCGAACTCCGCCAGCTTCTCTTACCAGCGAGCTACTTGTCCTTCAGGATTATTAAAGTTTCTTAACCAAGTCAGAGAGCTGTGATCGGTACGTACTATGAATGGTCGATACTGGAGATAAGGTCGACACTCCTCAACAAAATGAGTAAGTGCTAGCATCTCTTTGCGGGTGGCACAATAGCGCCGCTCGGCTTTGGTAAGTGTAGGACTAAGGTACTGAATGACACGTTCGGTGCTGTCACGTTGTTGTTGGGACAGGACGGCGCCTATAGCCGTGTCGCTGGCGTCGGTATCTAAGATTAATTTGCCTGCACCTTCGCTGATGTCGAGAAAAACCAGGACAGGGCTAGTGCACAAACTATCATTCAGCAACTGAAAGCAACTATCACATTCAGCCGTCCACTTGAACTTTTTCTCCGTCTGAGTCAGACGGTGAAGAGGGGCGGCAATGTTGGCATAATCTTTTATGAAACGTCGATAGTACGACGCCAGACCTAATAAACTGCGAACCTCTGCCACATCCGAAGGGGTCAGCCATTCGCGGATCTCTCTGATTTTGTCCACATCGGTTTCTACTCCTGTGGCTGAAAGTACATGTCCTAAGATTTTAACGCGCGGTCTAATGAAGACGCACCTTGAAGGTTTTAGAGTATGACCGGCTTGCTTGAGACTGAGGAATACAGATCGAAGGTTGCCAAATGGTTCTCGAAGTCCTTCCCAAGGACAATGATATCGTCCATGTAAACTAGACACGAGTTGGGAATCAGCTGAGAGAGTACCTGATTCATAAGCCTCTGAAAGGTACTAGGGGCATTGGCTAGTCC